TTCTGACTCTGAAGAAAGTCATAAAAAACTTCTCTCTCTCATTATTCTGGCGTTTAGCAAATAAAGTTAATGTTGTTAATCCTGACTGACCTGAAACAGGAAACGTTTGATTTAATGTCAGACAGTGAGAATGAAAAAAGGTTTTACGTCTTTTTATACAGTGAATGTAAACTTCTGGTTTCAACTGTTTGCATCAGGAAGCGCCAAAATGTTATTTACTTTTTATGTTTTTGGAAGAATCTGGTTCCTAGAAACATTTGCTTTTTGTGAACTTTTACATAAGACATGTAGAATAAAGTGATTTTGCTGAAAATCCCAATTTTAAGCTTAGATTTGGAAAGTTTTCCCGACACAACTTCACTCCAAAGATGATTGTGACCATCAGAAAGCTGAAACTATGACAATTATTTCAGTTTTCATAGTTTCTGACTAATAAATGTTTTAAAAAACACAACATGCCTTTAAGAGGGTTCATTTATGTTCAATATTCAGCTTGTGATCGATGTGAAATATGACAGAACAGTTTAGGACCCGTCTACTTCCTGGGAAGTCACAGATTAATCAAAAAATTAAATAAAAACCTAAATTAAAGACAACTCAACGTGTCAGTTTTTAACCTCATCTTGGTAAAAAGAAAACCTTGTGCAGCTTTCGTTCATCCTCTGGAATACTCTGACGTCGAAGCTTCAGAGTTGATCTGACTTTGTGATAAAGTCGTTCGGTTTCAAACAAAACCGTTTTATCTGCAGCAACGGCTTCAGCGACAGTTTGATGGGCTGATAGAAGTAAAACCAGAAGCCAGAGGGGTTTTTTCTAGATCTGATGTGACTGGAGAAAAGTCCCGGCAGAGGTTTACAGTTTAACTCACGACTGTCGTCCGCTGACTGAACCTCTGGACCTGATGAAGCGTCTGAACCGCCGTGAGTTCGCATCTCAACATGCAAATCAGCTGAAATGGGGAAGAAATGAAAACAGCGACGTAGACGTGACTGAACCCGACAGCCGAGGCCATCCAACGCCTCCAACGTCAGTAATTAGCTTCCTAGCAGCTAATTGTTAACTCTACATGCGTTAAAAAAAGACAGTTTGAACACCTAAACGTTGCAAATTAAGGAACTAAGATGATAAAACAAACAAACAACAACATGGTTTGATGACGAACTCTGTCGTAGAGGTTTTGGATTAATTATTACATCATTATAGCTACAGCTTCCTTTGTGGTTCTTGGTAATAATTAAGTTTATAAAATTATTTTACTTCACATATTGAGCTCGTGCACAAAATAACAGCGACGTTTTCAAGTCATTTCATATGAATTTTCATGTTTTTTAACTTTTAATACATCAGATTTATTCATTTATTTATTTTTACAATTTATTGCACGTATTTAATTTATTATTAATGCCAAAAACACATTAATTAGAAAAATATTTGGGTTTTTCCAACTCAGACCATCATTCTTATGAGATCTTGTATATTCTACATGTTTAGTTTTGTATTATTGCGACATGCAGCAACACGCGGTTCACAAAACATCACGAGTTGACTTCTACATTATTATTCTTTTTTTTTTTTTTGACTTTTCATGTTGGTTTCATTTATTTATTTGTTTTTTTGAGATTTTCAGATAAATTGTAAAAATAGCAAAAATTCCATATAAAAGTACAGTACGGGAAAAGAACAAGTGGAATAAAAGAAAATAGAGCACAAGGCTAAAGAAAATAAAAATAATAAATACATACATTAATAAATTAATAACAATATCTGTAATAGTAAAAAAATCAATATGTAAATATTTAATTTTTTAATTAATAAAAAAATAAAAAATCAATTAGATGATAAAAATGAACACTTATTTGATCTACTTGTCTATTATTTTAGATTCTAAATCAATAACATGATGAGAAATAACACGTTTTTATCTTTAATAGTTTCTGAGATGTTTTCGTTCAACCAGGTAAAAAAATAAAATCTGCTGAACGCGGGTCAGCAGGCAGATTTTTATTTTAAAAAATATCCCTGAAAGTATTTAATATATGAAGCTAAAACTTCACAGATATCTTTGTAAATACCAATATTTCATGCTGTAAATATTTCAGACAAATTGGGAGACGGCTGAGCAGAAATTTAAACCACATTTACCTCAAAATGAATTAAAAATGCAGTTAAATTGAGCAGAAATGCAGTTTAACGTCATCCTGCTTGTGGGTGATTCAGACGACGACGATCTTCTGCTACTTAATCAAAACGTGCTTTTAAACGCTTTTTATTCACCGCCCTGTTTTTCGGAGTAAGAATCCCGAGCCGATGAGCCGATTTCTCCTCTCCGGCACTCCGAGGAGGATCGCCGTGACCCCTGGTGACCCCGAGGGGGAGGCAGGGAGGGACGGAGGAGGGGAGGCAGGGATGGAGGATGTGGAGTGACAGGGGGGAGAAACACAGGAGGAATGTGAGATTACGACTCACTATCTCCAGCAGATACCGAAGGTCCGTCTCCTCACTCCTTCAGATAGGAGGGGAGGGAGGGGGGAGGAAGGGGTGAGGACGGAAAATGAGGAAGAGGAGACAGAAAATGGGTTTTAAAGAGTCGGGGAGGAGACGCTCGACATACGAACGGCTGCAAACGAACCGACTCCAGAGTTCGGAGGAGGAAGAGATGGGGGAGGAACAAAAGGTGATGGGTGAGGCAGGGAGGGGGGAGGGGGGGAGTACACACACACACACACACACACTAGAGTATCCGCACACACTCAGACGCACACTGATAATAAACGAAATCTCAGAAATTAGAGCCTATCACGCAGGAATCAATCACTGGGGTTTGTTGTCCAGGAGGATGGCGCCATGTGGAGATAAAAGGCAGGCGGACGTCTGGGGAGGGCAGGGAGGAGATGGGGGAGGCGGGGGAGGCGAGGAGAGGGAGAGGGAGCAGGGAACAGGAGAGGAGAGGATGGAGGAAGGCCTGGATGTGCGGCAGATTGCTGGAAGTGGACTCTGAGTGAACCGGCCGGGATGCTTCTCCCAGCGTCATGTGACCAGACGGACTCCGCGGTGCACATGATGCGCCGACCGGACGGACCAGAACTCTTGCCGAGAACACGCGATTTCATTGCACGCATACATGTGATAAGACGCATTGTCCGCCCGCTATCCCACCATCTGACCTCCGACCCGTCTGATCCGAACCCAGAGGTCTCTGTTGGTCCGTCGCTGCAGACTGATGAACACACTGCTGCATCATTTTCACTATTAAATCATTTGCTTTATTTATTTTAACCTTCAAAATCTAAACTCGTGTCAAATGAATCACAAAAAACACTCCAGAACTCACTCAAACCCACTGGCAGATTTAAAAAGCATGATATCGGTTGTTTTTTATGACATAATGACTCAAATTATCAGCAAAAACATGTCGGATTTCCACCTTTGCAGCCGTCTATGGACACATGTGACGTGTTAAACTTCATCCTGCTGGTTTTCAGACATTATTCTAGGCTTTGGGGGGTTTTGTATTATTTTCTCTCTTTATTATATATATGTGACACGTCTGAAGTAAATAAAATAAAATGAAATGTGCTGTTTCACCAAAAAACAGGAACTAAATCTGAGCTTAAAATTGTGGCACTTCATTGATTTTATTCATCGTGTCTCAACTGAATTTCCCTTCTGGGATGAATAAAGTATTTTTTCATTTCATTTTTTTTTTCATTTCATTTTCATTTTCATTTAAAAATGTGCTCAAAAATAAACTACTTTTATTCACCAAATTTTCCTAAAAAATAAAAATTCTGTGCTCCTATATGCAACTATGAAGTCACAACCAAGTCAGCTGTGACCTACAGTCAGGTGGCAAAAATTCAGAGAGTTTTCAGGTATTATTTCAGCAAAAATCACTTCATCTTACCTGGAAATTCACCAAAAATAACCCGTTTCCAGTTAAAAGACTCTGTAAAAAACTGACTCGACTGTGATCAAGGTGTCAAAAAAAACACAATGTTCAGGTTGAACTGCAGCCGGTGTTTCCAACAATTATGTACAACTTGTTTTTTCCCCCCATTATATATATAAATATTATTGGTAGCACCTTCAAAAAAAAGTTGGACATAAACTTCTTGGACTTTAGATGGTTAAATATATATTATTTAAATAATTTTTCAGTCTATTAAATGTCTCCAGGTTTCTTCTTTCATCAACCCACAGCTCAAAAAACCCCAAATCCTTCATTTACACTCGTATAAAACAGTGGCAGCAGTAAATCCCCTCATGTAAAGAGCTGGAAGTGGAGAATGTTTGACTGTGTTTTGCTTGATAAATTGTTGTTTCATTTTCTGCAAATGTTAAACAGAGATCAACTGATTATCAGTACGGCTGATTATTGGATCTGATATTCAGTATTTTTCTCATTATCAGCATCATTTTTTTAACGGATGCCCTCGAAAATAAATTAACTAAATTGTTCCTTTTCTGGCTCCGATGCAGCCTCTTGCTGTTTGTAGCGACCACATTTACTTAAACCTGCATAAAATATCAATAAACTAAAAGATTTCAATAAAAATTTGGTATCAGCTCCAAATATCCTTAAATCCTCATAATTGGAATGAGCCCTAAAAAAGAAAAAAACATCAATCCATCGTACAAAAACTTAGCGAATCTAATTTAAAAACGTGTGTTTCTGAAGTTTTTTAAAAAATGAGTTGAATAATTGATCATCAGAATCTGAATCAGTGTGTTTTCTGATCAATCAACCAATTAATGAATGAAATAATTGAAATTCTAATTAAAAAATGAAACTTTCAGACAGATTAGGACTGGATTAAATTAAAAATAAATAAAAATATTTGTAATCATCTGCTTAAAGTGCTAGAAATTAATGCACAAACTCAGATTCTTCCTTTTTTCGTTGTATGTTTCTATGAAGCTCTGCTGTTCCTCATAATCACGTGAACAATATGCATCACGTCAGGGTCTCGGTAACTCGGCAGTGAACACTCGGCTCCTACCTCCGCTTCCTGGTCCTCCGTGCTGCCCTCTGATTGGACGATTCCTGGGTAGGGGCCCCATGTGGTGTCTGGATGCAGATCTCTGAGCGCCGCCACGCCGCCTTCATCACTAAACTCCAGCTCATCTGAGGAAGAGGAGGAGGAAGATGAGCATCAGGGAGGAAGAAACCAGCTCAGCGTGAGTCAGTCCACATGTTAAAAAAAGAAACGTCCACGACTTCTCCCAGCGTCCACAGGTGTTCCCTCCACACGCTGCAGAGTTTATTAGTTTAATTTTTACAGCCTCTCATTGAGTCGTGCTCTGTTTGTTTTATTGATCCATCAGGTTTGATTTTCCTCTCAGCGTGTTGGTGGAAACGCTGCCCACAGTTCAACCTGAGAACTCTGAATTTTCGTCACATCACCGTTGGTCAAAGTTCACTCAATCATGGCTTCACGGTTCCACCAAGAAACACAGAATTTTTAGTTTTTACAGAATCTGATCAGAGCTTAGTGGTGATTTTTGGTGAGTTTTTAAATGACACGTGTAAAATAAAGCAATTTTAGACAGAACTGTTCGTCACAGATGAGCAGTTCAAGGACTGTAGGAAAGCTGAGAATCTGATCATTCATTTTGTTTATTTAAATTTTGTAGTCAGTCACTGAAGGTCTCAGGATTTATAGTTTTTTTTGTTTTTGTTTTACAGAATCTGATTAAAGGAAACGCTTTGGATGATTTATTTTTAAATTACACTTTTAGATTAAAATGATTTTAATGATTTATTACAATTTGAAAGTTTAGATTTGGTGAATTTTCCCAACAGAACCATATGTCACAGGTGAGTAGTTCAAGGACTGTCTGAACAATGAGAATCCAATATTTCTTTCTGTTTTTATAGTTTCTAGCTGTGATGAATTGCGTAATTTAAATGAATTTAAATTGAACATAAAATTATTTATCACCAAAAACCTCTACAACTGTCCAGTTATGTGTTTAACATAAACACCTGTGATATTCAGTTTTATAAAACATAATAATAATGAATCACTTTACTGTGCGAAAAATAAAAGACTGGCACCAGATTTTTTTAAAGAACAAAAACAACCCAACAGATGAGCAGTTCAGGGACTGTCTGGAAGTTCAAAATCCAACATTTCTTCTGGCTCTGATGAATTGTTTAATTTGTCAGTTTCCTATTAATAAAAAGCGGCCTTTTAAACCTGCCGACAGGTTTTTTTTTTGTTCAGAGGTTTAACGATGACGAAGACGTTTCAACAGACTTTAGTTTAACTCAAAGACGCTGGTGGAGAACATGCAGCGTATTTAAGAACTTCCTCAGCGCCTGCCGGCTGAAACGCGACCCGCAGCTGCGACCGCATGACGGCCTCCGAAGAATCAGCAGAATCAGCGCGTGGCCTGAACTTGACCCGGAGCCTCCGGAGCGGCCGGCACCGGCGGCAGCCCGACAGCAGGGGGAGTCTGGTGCGAGCCGAGCGTCCCGGCCGGTTCAAACGGGGGAAACTTCTTGTGTACTTCCTCAAAGTGAAGAGATAAGTGCAGAGGGATGGCAGTGACGGCTGTGGTCTGAGCCTGCTGCAGCCCAGATAGAGCCAGATAGCCGGCAGGCACCCGGGACTGATCCATCTATTTTAAAACTTGAGACAGCTCCGAGTGCAGCGGGCCGGAGTTGAGAGAAGTCCCCGCACATCTGAGGATAAATGAGCGACTCGGAGCGGCGCTGAGCGGCAACTGGATGGGATTAACGGCTCCGCGAGCGGCCTCGGGCCTCGCTGCCGGACCGGCTTCCTCGCCACCGCCAACGCCTGATCAAAACACTCAAATCTGCCTCCTCCCCCGCCGCCGCCACCGCCTCCTCTCACGTCGTCCATCCCCGGTTCAGGAGACTGTTTCGGGGGGTCGGTCTAAAGTGGCGGGCCTGATAAGAGTGTTTGTCTAACACTCTCCATGTCAAAACACTCATCTATCTTCTCTGTATCTATCCCCACCAGAGAACAACGGACAGACGCTGATAAAATGGCTTTCCCACAGCCGGGGGGGGTGGGTTGGGGTTATGGAGGGGCGGAGGGAACAGGAAGGAGGGCGGTTTGAGGGAGAACGTGAGGAGGAGACGTTAATAAAAAAAAAAAGAGAAAGAAAGAAAAGCCAAACGGGCGGTTGAACGTGTTGCTGTCAGGAAGCGGTGAGTTTCTGTAAAGTCGGAGCTGCAGCGACGCTCCACACTTCATTCATAATAAATCACTAAGGCGGCGTTTTAGGAAACACGACAAGTTAAAGCCCAAACCTGGGTTCATAAGGCTCGATATCACTTTAAAAAATAACCAAAATGACACCGGTTCGGAGAAAAAAGCTGCAAAAACTGACAAAAAAATGACTGCATTTTGAATTTTCCGACAGTCCTTGAACTAACCATGTGTTCTGTATGCGTTCTGTTTGGAAAACAACCAAATCTAAGCTTAAAATTGAAAAATCTAAATAAAAATAGTTTTATTGTAAAATATAACATCCCAAAATGACAGCATTTATCACAGCCAAAAACTGGGAAAACTGAAAAAAAGGTTGAATTTTCAAATTTCCGACAGTCCTTGAGCTAACCACGTGTTATGTTCGTGTTCCGTTGAAAAAAACAACCAAATCTAAAATTAAATTTACATAAATTTATTCTATATGTTATCCTAAGAAAATAAAATTCCAAAACAACACCAGTTATCAGCCAGAAAAAAAATGACTGTGTTTTTCTTTTTCCGACAGTCCTTGAACTCATCATGTGTTATTTAAAGTTCCTTCAGGAAAAACAAACAAATAAAAATCACTTTATTCTAAAATATAAAATTCCAAAATGACAGAATTTATCAGAGCCAGAAACTGGAAATGTGGTATGAAGAGTTCCTTCAGGAAAAACAACCAAATCTAAGCTCAAATTGTGATATTTAAATTAAAATCACGAGTGATGCACGATATTAAAACTTCTGGCCGATACCAACATCCAATATTTCTGATAACCGATATTACCGATGTCGATATTCAATTTTTGTTCACGTCACAATTTTTTGTGTACATGAGCACCGTGAGAACGTGAAAACTATCATGAAAACATCGGCTAAACTTGTTCATCGGACCGATATCAATGTATGGGAAAAAACACTAATATCGACCGATACCGATGTGGTCGTTGATATATCGTGCATCCCTAAAAATCACCTGATTCTACATGTTATCCCCCCAAAAAAGCCAAAATGACAGCATTTATTTCAGCCAGAAACTGTAAAAACAGAAAAAAAATTACTGCATTTCAACGTTCCGACAGTCCTTGAACTACCCATGAGATATGTACGGTTCCTTCAGGAAAAACAAGCAAATCTAAAACTGTAATATTTAAATTTTATTTGGTTTGTTTTATGATTTATTGTATTTCTGAGTTCTCTCTCCTTCATTCTGTTTCCATCGAGGTGCAGAACTTTATATTACTGAGAAAAAATGAGCAGATAAAATGTCCAGAAACCCTCCATCACGTTTTAAACCCATGACACAGAGAATAATAAACTCAACCTACATCACAATTTAAATCGCAGGTAACTATTTTACCGACTCGTTCGGTTCAGTGCAGCGTCTTGTTTAATCAGCTCCATGAACTCGGAGCAGCCAGCCTCGGCTCTTTCATCCACATGAGAGCGTGACACCGATGCCAGACGCAACAGGAGCTGACCCGACCCGCCGAGCTCGGGTCAGGTTGGGCTGAATCTTTTATCGACTGACTCGGGTTTGGAGCGCGGCTCGATTTCACCAATTTTTCACCGATATGTTTCACTAAAAGGAGCGCATGTTTGTGTTTAGGGCCGCACGGACGCGGTGCTGTCGGAGGGTTCGGGCTCTGACGTTCCCGGCTGGGTCGGGTTTCAAACACCTCAGACAGTCTGAAGTCCAGCGTCCGTCCAGCCGGTATCCTATCTCCTATCAGGCCTCGGTTTGGCCACTCTGACCCTCCTTATCGCTGCACTCCATCACTGTCCGGTCTGCCGCGCCGCCATTGGCCGATCCCGGTCACGTGGCGCGCTTATCAGCCTGACCAGCTCCGTTGACCCGCATTGTGAAACGGCGTGGAGGATTTGACCTCAGTGAGCCGGCGCAGATATTAACTTATAAACAAGGCCGACGCCGGCTCAGGTATTAGGCCTCGACCTGTTATCCCGCTCCCTCTGACCTGTTGCATCATCAGAGCTGAACGTCCAAACGCTTCCCTGATTGATGCAGCAATAAAACAGCTATTTCATCTGAACTAATTATTAGGCGTCACATCAGGGCTTCAGATTCGGTGGTGTTCTGGATTTCCTGTCGTTTCCTCAGCGGATGGATGTGTGCCTCCTGATCCTATGACTTAATTCTATTTGAGCTGGTTTAATTGACAGAGAACCACTGACTGATAAATGACGCTGCAGCATTTTACACTTTCTCCTCGTTTTTCTGTGATTTGCGTCTCCTGATCCAATGACTGCGTTCGTATCAAAACTTGAAGTAAAACCACCTTAATGTCAAAAGATTCAAATAGCACTGCTTCTAATTCGAACAGGAGAGTATTTCCTCTTATGAACAATCAAGAACAAATACTTTAGAAAGACGAGACCAAAACTTCAGACCTCACAGTAGAAACTAAATGCATCAAAAGTGTTTAAACCTGTTGTCACTGGTGCACAAGTTAGAAACTTAGAATGAACCACAGTGAATGCAGAGTGCTGACAGTGGAGCAGGAATGTGACGGTATGGAGCTGCATGAGTGTAAAATTAGTTGATGCACCATGAATATCTGAGGATGAACCAAAATACTGGTTAACAAGACGACTCCCAGTCTGCAGGAGCTGGAAGAAGAGGAATAGTTCAGCATGAAAACCATCAAAAACCATCCAAGAATTTCCAAAGATGGACAAACACTATGATCCGGACGAGTATGTGTCCCGACTTAAATCCAACAGAACACTGTTTTAAAGAGAAAGTAGAAAAACTAGAAAAATAGTCTCTGTTTGTTATATTTTACAATTTTTTACTCGTTTTGCTGCTTTTGTGTTCCTTGCCTTGGGTTCACAACCACGCCACAGGTTACCAGTCAACATTCATGTACAGACTCATGATGTC